CGCCCTGCCAGATGTGGGGAGATGAAGCACACACATTTCCCAGAGAAACGAAACTCCCTGCATTTAGCACCCCAAATTAAACGTCTGAGTCTTCTAGATGAAAACTTTCTAATATGCAGCTACACTTCTCCTAGCTGTGCTGCAGGGCAGGCCCCTGCTCTGACGACACTGACTTCTCTGGGACACCCCCACCCAAATCTTCTGCTGCAGGGAGGGGGTGGTATGGAGACTCAGCTTGCCCCCTCCCCAGAGGACGCTGTGCTCCCTGCCCCAGCACACTCCCCACACCTGAACCCCAGTGCACTTCCCCAGCGAGTGGCGAAGTCCTAGAGACCCCAGGTCTGGCACTAACTAGAGTCAGTTAATGCAGGCAGGAGGCGACAGCCATTTACCAATGCAACTAGGCTTTGGAGCAGGATTTGCACCCTGCCACTCCCACCCCCCAGGAGAATGGTTCTGGGAGAAGACACACCTTTGGCCTAAGAATTAAAGAGAAAAGTGAATGACTGATCTGCAATTTAGATTTTAAAAAACAGTTATAAACGAATGCCATGGACCAAGTTCAATTTGGAAGGAAGTGAACATGATTCGAACCAGCCTATCGTTTAGATGACTTAATGTTTAATGAACCCTGATCTTCTCTGATGTTTAAAAAGCCCTTGCATACCATACAGCACCATCTGAATTTTCTTTCTTTTTTTTAGAGCAATTAAGTTGCAGAGATTTGAGGGAGACTGAGATAAACACAGAAACAACACCCCTGGGCCCCAGAACAGGTTGTGGGAATAATAGGGTGTGGGTGGGGTGGGCCATGTTGCTCCTTCTGGGCATGTGCCTTTGTGTTTGCTGCATTTTTCTTGGCACTGAGGGAAAGGCATGCCCATGGAACACACCCTCACCCTCAGAGCCAACAGTGCAGACCCAGCAGCCACTAGTCTGTGTTTCTCCTGGGCTCTGAAACGCTGAGTTCAGTGAGAAACCTCAGTCACCCGAAGTCACCTTCCCAGGCTGAGTTCCCCGAAGATGCCACCTGACTGATTTGAGCATTTCAGTGTTGGGGCTCGCCCTGCTTCAAAAGGCAGACGCTTGTAAGATAGTTCTCATGCCCTGCCTTGCTTCTTCTCCTTCCCTCTCGGCCCACCTTCCTCCCTCCCTCCACTGTGGGGATGTCAATGGAGCAACACTGATTCCAGCTGCATTCAGGGAGGAAGCACTAATGCCTGGCTAATGCCTGCCTTAGACAAGGCTCTACAGAGCAAATGTCAGCATTAAAGACAAGAGCCAAGCTGGAAAGTGTCACACAGGCTGTGCTGAGTGGGTGGGTTGAGAGAGGAACATGTCCTCATCATCGAGCACAGAAAGAAGGGCTTGCATACATCAGCAGCGCCGGCCACCTGCCTGCGCTGGTTTCGGCAAGCCCACGCCAGGACCCTCAAGTCTCTGCAGGGTAATGCCCCCGTGAATGAACAGACCCCATGAATGAACAGCCACTTCAGGAATGTGCAGACTCTGTGAACACACTTAAGAATGTGACCCCAAGTCCCACAGAAGGTCAGAGCTGGAAGGAACCAGATGTTAATTCTGCTCCTGGTTCAGCCAGCCAAAGATCCAGATTGTAAGAATGCCCAAGAATGGGGATTGGCCTGGTCAGGGCTTAAATTGGAGGTCCCATCAGGAAGTAGCCCTTGTATTGTTGAAGACTGGGTCTTCTGCGCAAGCAGAGCATCTGGCCACATGGGACCACAAAAGGTTCCCCTGCATTCATGCCTTCACCAAACATCTACTGTGCACCCACCATGAACTTGACAGCAGGGGGCACTGGGACATGATGGGAACCAGAAACAAGACTCTACAGAGCAAATGCCAGCATCAAAGACGAGGGCCAAGCTGGCAAGTGTTATACAGGCAAGAGATAGGGTGCTGGGGGGCTTGCAATGGCTGGGAAGGAAGGAGGTAGAGAAATGCTTTGTGTGAGATTCAGTGCTGTGCGCCCAGGCAATCCCAAGCTCGCTCAGTACCTGCACTGAGGAATCACTGCCACGTAAACAGATTCCTTCCAGAGTTCTTAGCATCCAGGGCCCCAGAGGATCTCCATTCATTCTCCAGGTGAGTTTGTCTACACTTTCAATATAAGCACTTGCCATCAACACTTAAATGTCTATTCCAGCCCAGATCTCACCCCTGACCTCCAAGTGCACAGCTCTACCTGCATTTTTCATACATATAATGAACTTAATCCCCCCTGTACTGAGTTCCTGATTTCTCTCCTGCATCCACTCTCCTGGCAATATTCCAGACGTATGAAGTTGGATTCTATTCTTCCACTTGGCAGAACAAAAACTCGGAGTCATCAATGCCCTCTCTTCTCAGAGCCCACCTCTGATCGGCTAGCAAATCCCCTGGAATGTACTTTCAGATCTGGCTACTTTGCATACCACCACTGTCACCACCCTGATCTAAGTCTCCTTCATCTCCTATTGCAGAGACCTCCTACTGGCTCCCTGCCTCTGTCCCTCTTGCCCACTTCAAATATACCTCAGTCTTTTCTAATCAAGTGGTCAGAGTGAACCTGTTATCACAGTATAGGACATAGGAACAACAGTGAAAGTCTCAATGTCAGGAAAGCATCTCATTAGAGTCTTGTACTTGTACTTTACTACAATCTGACAGTGGGCCAGAAGAGCTTAGAGACCTTTGTAGGTAATTTTAGGATAAGATGATTATCCTACTCTTTTTCCCCTGGTGTATTCTTGTGACTGAATCAATATCTGGTCCATTGTAGGCATTCAAAAAGATTGGTAAAATAAATGAATATTAACTAAAAGGAGAGTTATAAAAGGGTACAAAAATCACCAGAGAAATAAACAACGTGAAAACAAAATTAAGAAAGCCATCCCATTTGTAATAGCATGAAAAAGAATAAAATACTCAAGAACAAACTTAACCAAGGTAGACTGAAAGCACAAAATATTGTTGAAAGAAATTGAAGAAGACCTAAAAAAATGGAAAGACATCCATGTTCATGGATGGGAAAACTTAATATTGTTTAAAAGGCAATATTCCCCAAATGACCTACAGAAAATTCAGTGAAATCCCTGTCAAAATTCCAACTTTTCTTTTTGCAGAAATTGGCAAATTAACCCTATAATTCATATGGAGTTGCAAGGAAGTATAACAGCAATGCCTATCAATCCTATAATCCATAAGGATTTGTAATGACCAAAACAATCTTGAAAAAGAAGAACAAAATTGGAAGACTCACATTCCTAATTTATAAACTTTCTACAAAGCGAGAGTAATCAAAACAGTGTGGTATTAAGAGAGCGATAGACCTATAGACCAATGGAACAAATTTGAGAGTCCAGAACTAAACTCGTACATTTATAGTCAATTAATTTTAGATAAGGGAAAGATTAGTCTTTTCCACAAATAGTGCTAAGACAACTGAATACTCACATTGGAAAGACTGAATTATTTCTCATGATATATAAAAGTAATTCAAAATGGATAACATTCTAAATGTAAGCTAAAATTATAAAACTCTTATAAGACATAGAATTCAACCTTATATTAGGTAATGGTCTTCTATTAGGTAATGGTTTTTTAAATATCACACTGAAAGCACAATCAACAAAAGAAAAAGTAAACTGGATTTCATCAAATTAAAAACATTTGTATATTAAAGGGCTCTCAAGGAAGTGAAAGAACAACTTTGAGAATGGAGGGAAAAAATAACAAATCATATTATCTGATAAGGGTTTATCACCAGAATATTTAAAGAACCCTTACAACTCAATAACAACCCAATTTTAAAATGGCCAAAAGGTTGGGACAGACATTTCTCCAAGGAAGATCTACAGGCCGGTCAACAAGCACATGGAAAGATGCTCAGTATTATCAGTCTTCAGGGACATGGTAATCGAAACCACAATGAAATACCATCTCATATTCACTAGGATAGCTGTAATTTTTTAAAATGGAAAATGTTGCTAACAAGTCTTGATAAGGATATAGAGAAATTAAAATCCTCATATATTATGGTAAAATGATCTAGTCACTGTGGACAAGTTTGATGGCTCCTCAGAAAGTTAAACCCAGGGGCCTCCCTGGTGGTGCAAGGGGTTAAGGCGCAGCACTATGAAGCTGTCCGCAGCCACTGCAGCAAGAGTTTGATCCCCAGCCAGGGAGCTGACCCATATGGCGCAGCAGACCTCTCCTGTCTCCCCGCTGCTCCCTTCAGCAGTGTATTTCAGTCAGTCTTCCTGTTCTGCTCCCCACTCTGGCCTGTACCCCATTTCTTGTATGCATAAATAAATAAATATTTTTTTAAAAAGTGAAACTCAGAATTACCGTAACACCCAACAAGTCCATTCCCAGGTATACATCCAAGAGAACAGAAAACATATGTTCACTCAAACATTTGTACATGGATGTTCAGAGCAACACTGTTCACAAGAGCCATTAGGTAGAAACACCCCCTAGCTTTCCATCAACTGATGACTGAAGCACTTAAACAAACTACATTGATACAATGGAAGAGTATTTAGTCCTAACCAAGGAAATAAAGTTCTGATACATGTGAGGACATGGAGGAACTTTGAAAACAGAAGGGAAAGAAGCAGACACAGAAGGTCACATGTTTTGCAATTCCATTTACATGAATACACAGATCAAGGAATCAGAGAGACGGAAAGCAGATGAGGAGTTGCCCAGGGCTGGGAGGGCTGGGGAACTAGGGAGTAACCACCTAATATGGGTAAGTTTCCCCTCAGGGGTAATGAAAAAGTTCTGGAACTCGTGGTGATGGTTGCACAACCTTGTGAATTCACTGAAAATCACTGAATTATACACTTTAAAACGACTCAGTGGGTGATTATGTGAGTTTTACCTCCGCAAAAGAACAAAGAATTACCAGTGATGCTGTAGTTGAAAAAAAAATCTAGCATTAAGAAAAAAGGGGGAACTCAGAGGCTGTCGGGACAGTCCTGAGAGCCACTGACCTTGTTTCTCCGGGTTGCGGACCTGGGACGGCATGTCTTGAATCTCCAAGGTCCACTCCCCCTCTGCCTTTTCTCCCCAGCAGTGCACAGTCATGAACTCCCAGTTTGTAAACCCTTCATTGGAAAGATCCAGCAATCTGTAATTGAAGACGCAGGGTCAGAATACAAGAAAGCAGTGGGGGGCAGGGGGCAGCAGAAGGAGGGCGTTCTCCTGCCCCCAATTACTGCTCAGGGGACTGTGCCACCCTCTGAAACACCCTAGGGGCGGAAGGGGCCTGACTTCAGCCTACGCAGGTGTCAACTGCTTCCAAGCCATTGTTTTACAACACAGCCCTGGCCATCAGCCTCACCTCCATTTTCTCATGGGGTCTCCCAAACGTTCCAAGAGGTGGGCACCCAAAAGGGACTCAGAGATATCTCCTCTCCACCCTAATGGATAGCTGGGAAGTCCCAGGCACAGTAATTTGCTGCAGCTCCAACTGGCTGGGCAGATACCGGCATGGGGGCATTCTGACTCCTGTCCTACCTCCTTCCCTTCCCCAGCAGTGTCCACACGGTGACCAACACATTCCTCAATCCTTTAATTTCCTCCAGGAGGCATTCCTATGCCAGTAAGGACCCCCAAGAGCCATGACCCAATGCCTACAAGTACTGACATAGACTGGGTGTCAGGGGCTTCCACATAACCCCCACATTTCTCAAAGGAAGCCTTGCCAAAGTGCGGGTTATGGAATGAATGAACATTCACCTCACCATAGAGCCAGCCCTCGTGCGCTCTGATCCAGGGGATACAAGAAAAAAGTGCTGCCATCGAATCTCCAGGGCTTAACAGGTTTCAATAGTTATATCTGGGGGAGATGACATATCAGGATGGTGCATTCCGATGTGGGTGCAAGGCACTCCTGGAAGTGGCCTTGGAGGGGAGGTGAAGGGAGGTGGAGCAGGAGGGGGCTCTCCTCACAGACTTGAGGAACCTCTCTTCTTCCTTTCAGACCAGAAGTTCCTTCCCGACTGGGCCTTTAGCCTCCACCTGTTTTCTCATGCTTGGTTCCAGCAGAAACAGGAAGCAACTCACGGACACCCGGTCCCTTCAACACCCAGTGCCCTCCCCAGCCTGCTCTTCGTAGAAGTGACAGTTCCAGGAGCTTCTCTCTGCCTCTTTCTCCACCGTCTAATTCTCTGCGTCTACTTTGGAATAACAACTGTGGAACACAGGCGCTCTCTGTTCATCAGAAATTCAGATGTACGTGTTTTGTGTGCTGTTAAGGTTTGATTTCCACTTTGGGGAATCTCTGGATATCCAGTGTATACAAATGGTTATCAAGGGAAGTTTCTTTGCATGGAAATAGCGGGGGCTGGAGGTGGGGAGATACTATGGTTTTCTTTTAAAAAACTGTAACACTCAAGGCTGATTTTCACACATGATGTCAAGCTGAAACCAAGGACTGGAGGCAGAACAAAGACAAGCCCTCTTCTCAGGGCTGGCATACTTCGAGCCAACTTACTTTCAGGGAACAGGTTGGCAACCTGAAAAAGCTGCTGAATTAAGCACGAAAGGGAACAAAGAGAAGGTAATAGATCCTAAACACAAACTCTTGACATGATCACACAATCTGCCATGGAAAAAGCAAATTCCCAAGATTCAGCTGATGCCAAGTGACCCCAGGCAGGGTTCAACATGCTCGATGGCACAGGCGCCATGTTGCAAATGGACAGCAGTGACCCCTGAGCCTACAGGACCTGCTTCCTACCATATGAGGGGCTGGAACACTGACTTGAGCAGAAAGGTGGAAATAAGAAGGGAAGGAAAAAGAGCTGGGGGGGGAGGGGCAAAGTAAGGGGGATGCGGGGGTGCTGGAAGGTTCTTGCTGGTAGACAGATGTAAGGAGGACAGGAAGAGAATCAGTTGCCTGTGGCAGGATTGTTGCCAAGCCTTTCCATCTATATTACCACATTCAGGTCTTGCAATGCTTCTGATTGGCAAAGGATAGTAAAATGACATTTCCACTGGTGAGCAATAGAGAAGTGGCCGTTTCCTGGGCTCAGGGCTGGGAAGGGAGGCCGCTGGGTGTAAACGCAAGTTGACGTTTCAAAGCCCATGTGGGTCCTTCCAGGTCACTGCCACCCACCATCTGTCACCCTTGCCCCTAAGTCTCACCAACGCTTCAGTTAATGCAGGCTGCCACTGGGCTCCTGCACCTAGCTGTGGCTTTGGAGTTAGGGGTCATCACCTCAGATGCTCCTGGTGACAAGCCTGGGACAAAGAGGAGCTAGTGAGGTGAGTTTACGAGAGTCAGGTGGCCTGGGTGCTATGTGAGGACAAGGATATTGGGTGCACTGAATCAGACCAGCCTATTGCCCAGCTCCAGAGGAGTGTCTGCACAGGGACAGTGGGCTTGGAACTGGAGACCCTCAAATTTTTCAGAGAGAGTTAAATTTTGGCATTTAGCTGCAGTTTCTAAAAGTTCCAATAATGAGGATGATGACAATAACAGAAACAACTTTGGTTGCAAAAGAGCATCCAGCTGAAGCTTTGCTCTCAAACTGTGTCCATGCTGGCCTCCCATGGCAGAGACAGATCGTGGCCTGGGCCGCCCTAAAGGAGGGAGATGTCCTGTGTCACTCTTGTGCGACAAGGACCTGCTAACGGCTGACCTTGGTGGTTAAGCCCTTGGAAGCCATAAGCCAGAGTCTGGTTACAGGGTTGCTTCTAAGGCGCTGAAGACGAACCCAGTGCTGGTCCACAGTCCGTTGACTGCTGTCCATCTGCTAACTGCAGAGAAACTGGCTACTGGGCCCTGGAGGCAGGACAGGGTATGTGGAGGACACAGCCCAGGTCCACACTTCTTCTACCCTGTTTCCACCTTTCGTTGCTGCGGGGCAATCTCTGCCTTCTGCCAATTAGAGTCTGCCTGGTTCTGCCTGCAGGTTTTTTTCCTTCAACCTAGTTTATAATCCTGCAACCCAAGGACCACAGATGCCAGCAAGTGGCCCACATGAGTCAAGTGGGCCCAGTGGGGGCGAGCAGGAAATGGGGGTAGGGCAGCCTTGGGGTAAACAAGAGAGTTAAGTGGCATGGCTGTCAGTTCTTTTTTCCAAGAGAAAATGGTAATGTCGATATGTCCATGAAAACTTTTTTCTACCTCTGGCTCTTAGATCTAAAAAGGAACCCCAACTCCCTTTATCCCAAGCACTTGTAAACCCCTCCACAGGATTTATCTGCAAGTCACATAAATGCACCAAAGCACAGCTCCTTGATTCTGTGTTTGGCTTTGTTCCATAGCCTCCCACAATCTGTGTCAAGTGCCAAGCCAGCTATTTCTGGGTGCTTCTACTAAACAGGGGACCCTTCCAAGCACATGAACAAGAGCTCAGTGAATTCTAAGCACCCATCCAAGTGCACCTCCCACCACGCAGAGCCTCCCCATTGACTATGCGGGTTCCAACCCCACCTGGACCCGAGCAGGAGGCAGCCCTGGAGTCAAAGAGTGCCTCTGAGAGCGCTAATGTCACTTGTGGAATGAATGTGATAACGATCTTCCATGCACTTCTGTGAGCAGTTACGTCATAGCCAGAATTCCACACGTCTCTCCACGAAACACCAGGACAACCACAGACCTGTCACTAAGCCTGGAAACGCCTACTTTGCAGGCAGCGCTTCGGAAGGCTGTTTTTCAGGTTGGTGGGGCTGATATGTGGGTGTCTCCAAGAGGGCACTGCCAGCAGAACCAGGGTGGCACTCGGGGTAGATGGGCCCTGGTGGGATGCCCAGCCCTTGCCCCCACCCCACTAGGCTGCCTGGCCTTACCTCTTTGCCAAAAGTTGAGACTTGGTTCCCGAGGGAGAGATCAGGTGGATCTGGAGGTCTCCGCGGCGCGGGTGGGAGATGGAGATGCGGGCCACCACGTGCTCCAGGTAGCCCACGCGCTGGTCAGAGCGGTCGGCACAGGCTGTGGTCAGGACGGTGGTCCGCAGCGTCTGCACCAGGGGGATGCTCCTGGGAGGGGAGCGAGGAGCTCAGCACTCGACAGCCTGAGCTCCATGTCACCCGAGGGTGCCGGGGGCCTGGCCTCTGTGCTAGAGGCCCCCAGCTGCACCCCACTGTGTCTCACCGTTGGAAGCTCCATCCAGTTTGAGTTTCATCATCTGCCCAGAAGGCACTGATCATTCTGCAACTCACTTAGGGGGACTGAAAAAGTGGTTTCTAGTGCAGACTCAACAAAAGCATCCAGGGATGGGCGTTTCTGTGCCTAGGGGGCAGCTTCTGGCTTCTCTCTGAGTTGCCTTTGCCCAACTCATCTCTTTGACTCCAGGGGACTGCAAGGTGTTGATGCCCCACGGCTTTATTTTCAAGACCGGCCTTGAGAGCAGATGTCATAACATGGGACGACAGTAACAGCAATGCTCTCTGTGCGGGCTGCCAGCAGGCACCAGGCACCGGCACTGAATGAGAATCCCTAAGGACCGACCCATTTAATTCAGAGAGAGGTCAAGGACTTTGCCCAAGGTTGCACAGCTTGAGAGGTAGAGCGGGGGTTGAGGCTGCAGCTCACTGCCCCCTCCTCTGTGCCACACAGCCCCTGCAGGCTGCTGGTGTGGGCCCATAATTCTGTTCCAGACACTGGGAAAGAGACAGATAAGGGATGCAGCTCGAGTCGGCCTCTGGGGCTGAAAGTCCTGGTGGAGACCCTGAAGACTGGCCCAGAGTGATGGAGACCAGACAGGAGCCTCCTGCATGAGGATCGGGGCGCCTGCCCTCTCCTGCCCAGTGATGGGAATGGATAAGGACTCTTTTGACAAACTCATCGCAGCTTTCCCACATGGGATGGAATCAAGGACAAGCGCCAAACCCAAATCAGAGTTCCTCCACAATTTTCTATCACGTTCCCGGATGAAGCAGACACGAAGCCTGCATGGAGGCAGCTCCTGCCTCTGGACGGAGCCACAATGCCCACTTGGTGTCCACTCAGCTCCCTCCAGGATTTGTAAACTGAAGAAGATCCCCCACCACCCAGCAGCCCATGAGTAATTCCCTGGAGCTTGGCAGGCACTGGGCTTATCAGCAGAGCATTTTCCCCATCCTGGCCCCACTTTCCTCTGGGGAGGGGAGGCTTGAAGCACAGGCCCAGAGTCTCTCAGGAATTACATCGCTTGGCTCTACTGGGCCAGAGTCATAAAAAAACAATCAAAACAGTTATAAACAGTGATGTAATTCCCTCGGAGACTCTGTAAATATTTGAAAACATGATTTGCACACATCATAAATTGATTTAGAGATGCTGACTTCTTTCATTGCCTTCCCTCAAAATTTACTGTCTGTGTTTACCGGTCAGCAGGCCCCCCGCTGTGGCAGAGGCCAACAGAACAGAAAGCTCTGGAATCTCCAAGCCCTGCCAGGCCCATGCACATCTCCAGGTGAAGTATTCCCTGGCCGCCTGCACAAGAAAGCAACGTGGGTGTCTTGAGACAAGGGAGGGGGCAGCTCCTCCTGGTGCAAACTCACTAAATGTGGCTTCCAGGAATAACCCTGCACTTTCTAGCTCCTAACACTTTCCCTGGGCCCAGCTGCAAGATCAAGGTGAGACAGAAACAAAAGTCACAACTCAGTTTTAAAAGTTGTCCCCGCTCCTCCTGCCCCATATGCCAATGTGGGGAGGAGGAACCGTCTCTGCCGAAGAGAGAGATTCTGGAATCCCAGTGAAGAAGCCTTAATCCTGATAAGGCCCAGGAATTCATAGAACAGGAACAGGGTAAAAATGGCAACCAAAGTCCCATCACCTGCCAGGCTCCAGGCGCCCGGCCCACAGTCTGAACACCTAGAGAGAAAACATCTCAACACCTAGAGAGAAAACATCTCAACAAAAGTATTAAATGCTCAGTGAGATTATTAAACCTTTTTGCATTTGGCATTTTTTTTTTTTTTTTTTTTTTTTTGCTGTTGCTAAGGGACTCCAGTTGCTGGGCCCCCTGAGGTCAGACAGGGTGGGCTGGATCTAATGCACAGAGCCCCTGGCTGCTGCCTACAGGGTGTCTGGGGGTGGGTGAGCGCCCTCTGGATTAGAGGTTCTACCTTGGTTAGCTTTTCAAAGCCAAGATGTTACCCTCACCTGGCGGGTAGAAGCCCGTTTCTGGGAATGCGACTAATTGTATTATGTAGCTTTGACGTGAAATCTCTTACCGTGAAAGCTCACAGTTAAGGGCCATGGCGCTCTGCAGGTTCTAGGGGAAGTGGGGTGCCCAGGCCAGAGACTCATCAACCTCCCCATATGCAGTTCATCCTCCCACACTTTCTTTTTTGCCACTCCTGTTGAACCAAATAAGCTAACATCCCAAATCAGGGGACTTTTTCATTTCTTTAAAAAAAAAAAAGGAGGAGGAGGAGCTTTGAAATGTTTCAGGATAACCGAGAATTTTCTGTATTTCAGACAGAAACTTCCAGTCAACGTGGGGAAGCCAAACACCAAAAGCCATCTCTTTAGAAAGGATTAACTCGAAGACCAAAAGCGAAAGTGTCAATGAAAATTAAAAAAGGATGTTATCTCCCACTGTATGGTTATTTCAAAGATAACTCAGAAAAATGGCGGTTGACTGTAAAGTAATTTATTTCTTAGGTTAAACAATGTGCGGGGATTATCTTTATCACACGCACACAGCTCAGTTGGACTTCCATCATGAAAATTGATTTAGAAAGATCTTAACCTTCCCAAGATAACTGGAAAAGTCCCTCTGCCATTCGATTCTAAAATTGTCATCCTTATATACAACATCACCTTCCTGGGATCCTAAAGGAACCCAAGGGGCTAAAAGATCCTACAAGAAACAGGACCTGCTCAACTGTGACCTTTAACTATGGCGCCTGCCCTCGGTTCAAAGGACCTCTGAGGACAGAGACTCTCACTTCCAGTTGAGCCACATTTCTGACTTAATTACTGACCCCCCAGGTGGTCTCCTTTCCTCCTTTCCTCAGCAACCTTCTTCTGAGGGGTTGAGGGTTACCAACCAACAGGCTGGATGAGGGTTACCAGCCTTCACAAGAAATTTCTAGCATCTCCCGGCCACTAACGCCTGGGCCTCCTTCTTTAACTGGTCCTTGGACTCAAAGGTTAGAAGCACAGAATTGGCCCCCACCACCCCTCCTTGGCTTAGCTGAAAATATGACTCTAACTTTGACTCCCCCAAAACTTAATCAATAGCCTGTTTTTTGACCAGAAGCCTTATCGATGACATTAACAGTTGATGAACATATATTTTGTATGCTGTATATCTTTTATATACTACATTCTTACAATAAAATCAGGCAGAAAAAAACCATTTTGTTTTTAAGAAAATCAAAAATATACTAAAACATCTCAACCAGGAAATGTCCATCAACAGCCACCAATTTTTTTTATTGAAAAGAAATTTGTATAGAAGCAGACCCTGGCGGTTCACCCCCCCACCCCAGCAGTGGGTCCTGGACCCACTGCACTTTTCTCCAGTGCATAATACCATCTAATATCTTGTAAAGATGTTGAGAAATAAGTTCCTAATTTGTTATAGTCAAGGAGAACTTGCCAAATGGCAATGCTGAGAATTGTATGGTATCAGAACTAACAATCCGAGGGGAAGATAAATAGTTTCAAGTAAACAAAGGGAAGAGTCGGGGTAGGTGGGCCGTGGGAAAGCCTCCAGGGCACCACTTGTCTTTCTGCTCTAGATGGGAAGCTGCTAAGTCAGGCCATCTCAGTCCCAACTGGAAGACCTCGCTACGCTCAGGTTCAAGGGCAGACCTTTTTCACGCTATGCCACCCTACCAAGCTGCAGGGCTGGGTGCAGCAACTTGTGAGACCATTCTGAGGTCATGATTGGGGGAGACTCACCAGAATCGGAAAGCAGCAGCGTCTTCCCCTCTGTATTTGGCATCTGTCTGGGGGTGAGGGGGACTGTGCAGGGTCAAGGGCCTTCCATTGGATTGGAAGGTCAACCATGAAACCCTTTCACTGACCTTCTAAGGGGTAATGACTGGAGTGCAGAGGGGTTAATTGGGACAGACTTATTAATTAAATTGTAGGAAAGCAACCTGGTCTGTGAAGGTCACAACTAGAAGCTTCTGAGTCACTTCTTAGATCTCTGTTCTAGAATCTAAGCTCTGGACAGGATGGTCATTAGGTCAAAGGCAGACAGATTCTGAGGACTTTCTTATCCTGATGAGTTCTCATTTAGAATTTTCCATAGAGAAAATTACTTTTGATTCTCAAACCATAGCACATCATTTAGACTGGAAGTAAAATTTAACTTAAAAAAAAAAAAAGAGGCTGATCCAGTGCATTAAATTAAACAATGTTGTTCATGATGAATTGGACTATAAGGTGTTTTAATATGCAATGTTTAAAGTTATAGCATCTATTTCCCTGCTATCTGAAATGAGGGGGCTAAATTAGATTAGCTGGTTTTAAACATTCCTTCCAATTCCAAACATTCCTGATGGGGAGTAAAAAAGACATCCTCATTATTCATGATTCCATATTTGCAAATTCACCTACTCACTGAGATCTAGTGACCCCCAAATCAACACTTGTGGTGCTTTTGCAGTGATTTGTGGGTATAAATAAGCAAAGCAGCAAATATCTGAGGCCCCAATATGTACATTCCCAGTCGAGGTTGAACAAGGGGAAGCTTTACCTTCTGGTTTCAGTTCTCATACTATAAACAAGTATCCTTTTTTGGTCTATTTTTTAGCACAGTTTGCAGTTTTTGTTGGCGGTCTCACTATTTAGAACAGCCCCCAAGTGCAGTGCTGGGGCACTGTCTAGTGTTCCCCAGCACAAGAGGCTGCTCCACGCCTTATGGAGAAAATACATGTTAGATGAACTTCATTCAGGCATGAGCTATAAAACTGATGGTCATGAATTCAGTGTTAATGAATCCACAATGTACATTAAATAAGTGCTCTTTAAAGAGAAACACAGATCACGCGAGGTGATGAGTTGGTCGGTTGATAAACTGACTGTAATGTGG